ATTCCAAAAATATTTCATGATAGAGATTTTATTTATACGTTACGTGAATTACGTTTTGAATTAACAACATCAACAATGACTGAAAATGCAAGTGTTACTGGTATTAAACCATTAAGTTTATTACGTGCATTAGAACATAATTTTAATGGAATATCAAATGAACAATTTCAAAAATTAACTGAAATTTTTTTTAATTGTGTAAGACAACAATGTAAAGATTTTCTTTTACCATCAAAAAAAGAACAACGTAGTACATTAAATATTCTTAGTGATTCATTACAATTAGATTCAATAAGACGTCGATTATATGGTCGTTATAAATTAATTATTGATGAATCTGAAGATGAAAGTGCAATTCGACTTTTATTTCAAACAGGTATTATTGATAGTGATCCAAATAAAACAACAATATTTCGTATGTCCGATTTTCCAGATGATATTAATAATGAAATACGAAATGTTGAAATATTGTCAACAATTAAATTATGTATGGAAACAGGAAAAACAATAATAATGATTAATACTGGTCGTATACATGGATCATTATATGATGTATTTAATCAAAATTTTTCTATTATGGCTACAGGTGATACACGAAAAATATTTTCAAAAGTAGCAATTGGTCCAAAAACACTGGATGTACCAGTTAATGAAGAATTTCAATGTTTAGTACAAATTAAACATAGTGAAATGAAAGAAATTCCGGCACCATTTCTAAGTAGATTTCAAAAATATTCATTGAATATCAATGATTTTTATCGTATTCAATTTGAAAATTTATCAAAAACAGATCAAATAATAATGAAAAACATTGAAGATAAAGCACGAACATTTATTGAACATTATGGTAAACAATATTTTTATGGTTTAAATGATAATACACTTTATTCTTGTTTACTATCATTAATAAAAATAAATGAAAATAATATGGAACAAGAAAAAAATAAAACTTATTTAAATGTACATCATCATTATACACAATTAGAACAAAAATCAAAATTAATTATTGAAGAAAATCCAACCGATATACAACAATGTTTATTACGTTCAATATTATCAAAATTAATACAACTTGTATCACCTGAATCATTAATATTAAAATTACCAACATTTGAAGATAGTATAGCACGATGGTTATGTACAAATTATTTTCAAAATCAAGAACATTTCAATATTGAAAATTTTATTCGACAATTAACAACAATACCAACAGATATGATAAATGAAGGTGATCAACAACAATTATCTCAAAAAATAAATATTACAACAAAAGTAACAATATTCACGCGAACATCATCATACATTCTTGGATTAAATAAAAATTCAAAGTATCAATTATTTAAAGAGACTACGGATAACAATGATGAAATTGATGTTTTAAATTTGGTAAGTGATTTCGATTACTATAAACTGACGAGGGAACCGATTTAACTGTTAAATCGTTTTTTCAATGAGACCTAGTGAATTATAGGATATCGATCATGCTGATCCCGAATATGACCATGATAGTTGCTTATTGATCTCCAGAGATCCGCTTTTTGTAAAACCAGTTTTTCAGAGATTCTAAAAGTAATTAAAACCTTTCTTAATGAGACATGACTGCAGGCCGGAAATTTCTGGTTAAAATGAGACATCTCCCAGCTCTACATGACTTTTCTTTGTAAGTTATAGAGTTTACAACAAAAGCCGTAAATGTTCATTGTTAACTCAAAGATACAGAAATAAGGAAAAAATTAATTTAGAGCTTTTCTTGTAAATTCTATAACTTTGCAAAGAAAGGTCGTGTAGAGCTGGGAGATATCTCATTTTAATCAGAAATGTGAAGGCTACAATTATGACTCATTAAGAAAGGTTTTGGTTCCTTTTTAGAGCCTCTGAAAAACTGCTTTTCCAAAAAACGGATTTTTGGAGACCTATAAGCAACTGCCATGGCCAGCATAGGCGATAACCTATAATCCACTAGGTCTCATTGAAAAAACGTGATTTTCCCTCATCGTAACACTTTAAAGGAATACTGCTTTGATGCTTCTGCTCAGACCACGAATGTTTTATACATAGAAAGATGGAGAAT